GGTTTAGTCCAAATCTGCATCCTTTCCTTCAAGGCTCAGGGGTCCAAGATTATCTTCTGTGTCTGTGTTCATTGGTTTCCCTTTTCTTTGTTGAAGAGGGTCTGTGCAATCCTTCTGCCTAGTCTGCCATCTTGCCCCTCCTCCCCTAGCTTTTAATTCTTAAAAAATAATTATTTAGGTATGTCTGTATATTTGTAATGCTCATAATGTAGAATGTTTCATTTAATTTGTGTACTTCATTTGCTGATTTGGAGCCTCTTTTCTATATTTACAAGGAAACCCTGGTGTCCTAGTGGTTAAGGCACTTGCTGCTGAGGGGTTGGTGGTTCAAACCCACCAGCTGCTATGTGGGAGAAAGATGAGGCAGTATGCTTCCATAAATATTTTTAGCTTTGGAAAACCGATGGAGCAGTTCTTCTCTGTCCTATAGAGTTGTAATGGATTTTATGTTTTTCTTATATTTACATAATCAAGAGCTAGAATTGTTTGGTTTCAGTGTTTTCTCTGTGGCCCCCCCTTATATTTTTTTTTGAACTATCTTGTTTTAGTTATTTGTAAAATATCTAAAAAAAATAAATTTTAGGCTATTAATGTCTGAATCAAAGCAGTTGGGTTGGACTAGTCATTCAGAATAAGTTGAATTTAGTCATGATGTCAGTTTAACCCCATGTTTTTTATCCTGTAGGGTTTTTTTGTCTCAGTAACCTTAACCTCAGAATTCCCATTGAAAAATTTTAGTGACTCCCTTTTTGTTAATTAAAGTTTAGAATAAACACTTTCTCTAGGTAATATTATCTTAGACCATATTTAATAATTTGCCTGATTTACTGCTTGAATATTAACCCATTCTGTTTGGGAATTATTTTGCTAAGTGAGAGTGTCAGCTTACTTGAAAGGCTCCCTAGCTCACTGTTTTAACTGCTTTGCCCTGTGGGTCTTTCGCAGAATCCTGCTGCATCACAGAAGCTGGAAGTTCTGATGTCCCTTTGAAATCACAATGGAAAGTCTTGACTTGACTGGTAAGAGCAGCACCATAGGTGTATCTTACTTACCTGGAAGCACTGAAAACCAAAAACTAAAAAAGCAGTGAAGCAGTTAAGAACTATGTCCTATCAGAGTCCCTCTCAGTTTTTTCCCCATTTGATGGATTCACCTTCTTTACTGTTCAAGAATGTGTGGCAATTGTGTTTAGTTTTTTTTCCTTGTCAATTTTGTTTATTTTTCTAAAGTGGCATTTTAATCTCCATCATCAAGTAAGTTAAATTTTCTTTTAAAATCACAAGTTTTATTTATTAACTCTTTCAGAATCTCTAATTTGTTTCTCCACAGTAGTGTGTTATTATGGAAAGTTAATTTGTTCAAGTCCTGGATATCTAGAGGCTACACATGTAAATAAATATTAAATGGCCTATTCCCCAAAAGCTACTTTTTGTGCTACGGTGAGTTGGAAAGTGAATCATTATCAAGGCAGTATGGAGGTTTTCTTAACTATTAAAAATAATAGAGGCAGTTGTGTAACCAAGGTTTCCTACATCCATGAAACTATTTTAAGTATGAAAACCACACAATGAAGATGATGTTGAGATTTAAAAATAAATATACGTGACAAATTTGATCAGATTCTGAAACTCAATGGTAATATAACTCTGTCCTGTACATTAGTTATTTTATTTTTAAAGCTGTTGCTGTGTGTGTGTGTAGCGACCCCTACTGAGTTTCAAGGCTGTAAATCTTTACGGAAGCAGGCTGCCTCATCTTTCTTTTGTGGAGTGGCTGGTGGGTTTGAACCACCAACTTTCTGTTTAGAAGTCAAATGCCTTAACCACTATACCACCAGAGCTCCTTAAAATATGTACAGCCATAAGATTTTAAAATTAGTTTTAATAAGGCATAGTGCCTAAGACAATTGACTGCTAACCAGTGGGCTGGCAGATAAATCCACCAGCCACTCCTCAGAGAGAAGATTGGGCAATCTACTTCTGTAGTGATACCGCCTCAGAAACCAAGGAGGGGTCGCTATGAGTCAGATCCGACTGGATGGCAGTGAGTTTTGAGTTTAATGATTACATAAATGCACAGACTTTTCCCCATCTGAAAATTAAAGGTGTGATTGCTTTATTGATGTTTGTACACTATGGTGAACAGATGATTTATAAGACCGAGAAACATGTTATTAATGAAAATGAAGAAATCTAGTAAATACTGGTTAGTTGTAATTTTTAAGAAATGATCTTTTTCTTTAACTTTCTGATTGAGAAGTAATCTTAAATCTTTAATTTTAAAATACTTTCTTAGCTTATTGAATGTTTAGAATAGCTGTTTGCCTTCTTGTTTTAGTAAGTGGTATGACTGAATATTGCTTTTATGAGTTGAACATAGTTATAAGGCTTATATAAAAGCTGTTCTCCTGAATGTCACTGTCTAGGATTGTATACATAGTACAGATGTGTCTACAACTTAGCTTTTAAATCTGTTTTACTACCGGATATTTAAACAACAAAATCTTAATGCCAATGAGAAGACTGTGATTTAGTTATTTTCCTTTTTCGCTTTGTTCTCCTTTAAGACACTCACCTAAGTTAAAAATACAAATTCTGAACTCTAACTAACTCTAACTCATTTAAGAGTTCCAATAAACTCTGCGTGTGCTAGGTCAGTATAACAGACTATGGAATATTCAAAAACTGATACTGAAATTTCAAATAAATCCTCAGTTGCTAATCCAAAAGGGGATTTGAGTATGATGAAGTTTAAAGAAAATTAAATTTGTGGCAAATTTTGAATTTACTAAGTTCTTGAAAGTACAGTAAGATATTTTATGTGACCTGTTCAGAAACCTAAACATGAACCAACTTTAATACAGCAGTCTTGACTAAGTAGCCATTCGTCTATGATTTTTGAACATTGAATTATTGCAATAAAATGTATTTCTTCTCTTAACTGGGCATACATTGACAAAAATGCAAATTGTTGATAAAATTTAAGAAGCTTAATTGACATTGATGAAGACTATATATTTGTTTGTTACATACATAAAATATTTATATGCTTATCTTAAATATAGTATTAACTAAGACATAGAAAAAATGCCATATAAAACCAGGAAAAATTTAAGAAACAAATGCTGGAAGATGTTAATTGGCAAAAGAATGCCAGGATCAGATGAATCAGGATAACATGCTATGTTAGTTAGCTTAGGCAGTTATATTTAAGTATCAAAAGATAACCCCCAAATCTTAGTGGTTTTATAATAGTAAAAGTTTATTTATTACTTTGGTCATGTCTCTTTTGAGTGTGCTGCCACTCTGTTTCATGTCAGCTTTGTTCCTGGACTAAAACTGAAGGAACAACCTCTCTGAGATGCACAAGCCTTGTGACAGAGGAAAAGAGAGTGATGTTCTTAATGTGGCTGTATGGAAGTGGCACATTGTGCTTCCACTCATCTTTCATTGGCCAAAGCATGTCACATGGCCAGTTCTCATGTCATGAAGTGGGGATAGATAAAGCCTTCTGGTTAGGATAGGTCTTTCAAGAAGATGGGTCAGGGAAGGACTGATGGGGTTGGGGCAAGTGACTATTTTAACTACAATGTAATTTGCCTAATACTTTCTGTTGCTGTTCTAGAGAGACAGTGCACATAGTATATTAAAGATTCCAGGAAGTTCTGTAAAAAATTAATCTGTTTAAGTGAATTGTTTACCCAGTCTCTAGTAAATGAAAACCAAATTCTGTAGTAAATGAATTGTTTAACTGAGATTTTCTAAAATTAATCGATCGTGAATTCTTTTGTTGTGGTTATGTAGAACAGAGTGAGCCATGAAACCTTATCTGTGACAAGCTTTAAGGAATGAGGAATTGATCCAGTTCCAGAGTTTTCTTCCAGTTCCAGATGCTTTCAAATATTAGAACTTTTTCCACCATACAGTAAGGGTTTCTAGTATATATACTGGACATACATCATTGTTTTATAAGTAGTTTTAAAATTAATTAAAATTGCTGCAGACTGGATCCTCAGCAGTGTTTACATACAGAATTGGAGAAGGGATATAATGGCACTCATAATAGTTTCTTACCTATGTATAATATGTTACAGAGCTTTACAAATATTATTTAATTTGATATGGAGGAGAAGGAGAAAATGAGGACTTTGCTTTTTCTAGTAGTAATAATAATTTTACCACATAATGGCAGCCAATTGCTTTTGTCTACTGAAGTGCAATTTCAGGAATCATTCTAGAGATGAAGAATGCAGACCCCATGGGGAGTTTAACAATTGTATCCCAGTGGTTTTTTCTATGGTCTTCTACCTGACAGTATATTCACTACATAGTGGCTTTCCATTATTTTCTCTTAAGCTAGACCCATGGAACTCAAGCAAATAATGATTTGATTAATCCTAGAGGTATTATAATATTTGGTAGCTTATAGTTTCTTAAGAATTGGGGAAGGAGCATGCTTAGACATTTGTGTCTTTTTTTATGTGAAGTAAGGCTTAGAGGCAAGACAATTTAACAAAATAATGGGTTTTGGAATCAGAGTAACAGGTATAAATCCTAGTTCTGACACTTTTTAATTGAAAGAATTTAGGCAATTAATCTCTCTGAAATTGTTTTCTCATTTTAATATGGAGATAATCTCTACCTTGGAGTGTTATAATTATTAAATGAGGACTGCACATAACAACAACAACATGTTAAGTGCTAGTACCTAAGGCACTTGACTGCTAATCAGAAGGCTGACAGTTCAAGCCCACCAGCCACTCCTCAGAAAGAAGATGAGGCAATCTACTTCCATAGTGATACTTCCTTGGAAACCCAAGGAGGGGTCACTGTGAGTCAGGTCCAACTGGATGGCACATAACAATAACAAGAACAACACATAGGAGGCACTTAAGCAATGGTAGTTTAAGAAAGGAAAATGTGATCAAAGGTCAAAGAACTTCATTGTCCTATAAAATACCACCAGTAGACATCTGACTGTATATGTTGTCTGTGTTGTTTATTTATTTACATATAAATGTACACACCAAGGATTTTTTTTAAAAATTGTCCCAAAGAATATATAAGAACCTATACGTTCTTTATTTTTATTACTGAGAGAAATGATGACTCTTGTAGAAATGTTAGTCACCCTCTGATCTAATAATGCATTTCTTGCCACTGAGAAATGTTGAAGTCTTCAGGACAGAGTGTGATAGGAGTGAATATATGCCCTTTACTCTCAGTATTAGGAGCTCTGGTAGCACAGTGGTTAAAGTGCTAACCAAAAGGTTGGTGGTTTGAACCCACCAGCTGTTCTATGGGAGACATATGAGGCAATCTGCTTCTGTAGAGATTTATAGCATTGGAAACCCTATGGGGCAGTTCTACTGTGTGCTATAGAGCCAATATTAGTTGGAATCAACTTGATAGCAGTAGGTTTTGGTGGTTACTCTGAATATTGAGGAGGTTAGGATTAAGGCTTAGATCAAATTTTATGTAATCTTGAGGCAAAGTACAAAAACAGAAGATGGTGCCACTTTTCTTCACTATGTAGAGCAAATGTTACTTGGTTTAAAAAAACCCAGCATTTCTATTTACAGATTTTTAAGTTATTATCCACCAGTGAAGATTTAATTTATTTAATCTCCTTAGAGAACTTCTCTGTTGACAGTGTTCCCTTGTACTCTCAGAATCAGGCGCAGCATAGTAGTATGGTTCAAATCCCTTTGCTAAAATGACAGTTTCATATGTTTAATATTAAATAACATACACATATAAAAATTGTTTTTATTTTTGATGAGTCATTCTTCAAATTGTTTCATAGTGTTCTCTTTGTAAATGGAGCATCTGTGTAACCCTCAGTGGCCCATCAGCTGTTATTTGTAGAGTAAAATCACCTCAAAAATATGAACTCTTTGGGAGGACAGTGTGAAGCAAAATTAAAATTCATTTGGAGAAAAAAAAGGGGGAGCCAGGTTTGCTCATCTGATGGAACCTGGTGGAACCACTGAGACTATGGCCCCTTGATGCCCTTCAGG